ATAGAGAAAAGATATCTGATACAAATCATAGTATTCAGTTGTCAGTCACAATGTACTATACTAATTGGAGAATTTTACTTTAAAAGTTATATATCCATACAAAAACTTGCACATGAATGTTTATAGCAGTTTTGCTCATAATTTGCCAAAGCTCTAAAGCAACCAAGATGCCCGTCAGTAAATGAATGGGTAAACAAACGTGGTACTTCATATAATGGAATATTATTCAACAATAAAAAGAAATGAGCTGTCCGTGGTGTATCCTTATAATGGAGTATTATTCAACAATAAAAAGAAATGAGCTGTCCGTGGTGTATCCTTATAATGGAGTATAATTCAACAATAAAAAGAAATGAGCTTTCCAGCCACCAAAAGACAGGAAGAAACCTTAAAAGCATACCGCTAAATGAAAAAGGCCTATCTGAAAAGGCTACGTCCCATTGGTTCCAACTATTATTCTGAAAAAGGAAAAACTAGACACAGTAAAAAGTCAGTGGTTGCCAGGTGTTTAGCAGGAGGGAGAGGAGATGAGGTAGAGCATGGGGAATTTGTGTGGCGAATGACACTGTTCTGATACAGTAGTCGTAGACACATGTCATTACACGTATGTCAACAGAAAACATGAGCCCTATGTAAATCATGGCGTTTAGCTACATTTAATAATAATGTATCAGTATAATTCATCAACTGTAGCAAATATACCACACTAACAGAGGATGTCAATAATAGGGGAAGCTGTGTGCAAGGGAATATATGGGAGTCACTATACTTTCCACTCACTTTTTCAGTCACCTAGAACTGCTGTAAAAAAAATAAATTTTTTTAAAGGTATAGTGTTTAATATCAAGGAACAAATTTCTAAAAATGCAGTTGGGGAGGGTGGGGAATAAGAGTTAGAACACTGTCACTGGCATATTCCACCAATCTTTCTGGTTCGCATGTCAACTTCTTCAAACTGAAGCTAATTCTTCCTTTCAGTTCTGCAAGCCTGGCCAGTGACTTTAGGAAAAGAAGGAAGAGCGAGCCTGCCGTGGGGCAGCCGAGGGGCTTGGGGGACCCCACTGCAAGCAGGATGAGCCCAGGTCGAGCAGACCTCCCAGGATCAAGCGCCACCCTGACAAAGTCTTTCATTAGTTCTTCTCCTTCTTCCCCATCCAGAGCAAAAGGTAAGCAACAATAAATTAAAGCGTAAACAATTTACTAGTATAAGTTTTAACCTAGAGTAAGCACCCTGTGAGAGCTGGTCCAGTGAAAACTATCCAGAGATAGTTAGCATTTAAACATAGTTTTGGAACAATAGCTTTCTTCCTACCCAGGCTAAATGAGGTGGGTGAACCCTTTGAGTGGCTGAAAGGACTCTCTCATCTGTGAGTGCTTTTTTCCTCCAAATATATCATTTGCTGGGGATGTTTTTGGAATAAATTCAAAATATCAAAGAATTTATTGTCAGGCTATTAAAAGATTACATTTATAAACATTTGCATATTGTCAAAATTGTCGAATGTTACTAGCAAAATTAATCACATTTATACAATAGGAATTATAAGTAGCAACAGAGAACATTGCTGCCTAAAACATAATTTTTAAAAAGATTATTTAATTCTAGATAAACTTTGTCTAACCCATGAAAGTCATTTCTTTAATCACTGGCTCTATATTTTGGTCAATATTAATATATACAGTAGAATATCCATGTTCTGTCTGTAACATAGTGTTCAATTCACAACAGTCTACTAGTAAGAACTAACTGGTTTCAAGCCATAATTATAAAATTTAGATATCACCAAGCCTTTTTTTTTTCCATATGGCCTGTCTCTTCTGAAAATTCAGTGAGTTTATTTGACAGGAAGCAAGTCACTCTTTCAAGTGTCTGAAATACCGTTGAGTACATTACTGCCACAACAACAGGAATATTCCTAAAATGGAGACCAAGGGTTGAACCAGTACCCATAGTTCTACCTAGATCTATAGCAAACTTGGAGTTCCACAGTCTCCTCCAATCTCCTGGGGTTGAAACAGAACAGAGAAGGAAATCTGAAGTGTGTGAAGAAAGCGAGCTCTAACAGACATTTCCATGAGATAGCATAGATTCAGCAACGTGTACCAAATGTAGACACTAAAAGTGTTGCCACATGGTGGTAACAACTAAGAAGTAGCTGGTTTGTGTGCAAAAAACCAGGCTGGTTCGATGATTGGCTGTTTGGATAAACGGAAGACACCAGCTCTCTTCCATGTCCTAGTAGAGCTGTGAATACTAACTGGAAGGAAGGTTCAGAGAGAGTACACCTCTTTCATGATCCCCTTCCTCAAATTAACAAGGATACCTTTATCAGATTCTTCTCATTTATGCAAACAAATACCTTAAGGTAACAAATAGGTCATGAAATGCCATTGATTCCTTTTGTGAGGATACCACCCAAAAGTTAAAGGATTCTGATTGATTTAGATATTTGTTTTTATTCCAGGGGAAGGTTAAGTCAACTTCCTTTCCCAAACACTGCATATCTACTTAATGTGCTTATCTACTTTTGAAGAATTTGGGGAAGATTGTAAGGGAGGAGCTGTCAATCGAGATAGGTTCCTCCACTTGGTTTATTTCTAAGAAAAAAAAAGTCCCATTAGAGGTATTTGGCTTCTCGTTTATTAGTTGACTCAGCAAAGCAAAAGAAAATATTTCCAATTAAGCATATTCCAATTAAGGTCAGGGTTAGCTCTCTATTATCAAATTGCAGTGATTTTCTAAAAAGACCTTCCCTGGAAAAAAGCAAGACGCCTTTACCTCAGATGAAAGTTTTCTAGTATATCCAGTTATCCGTATGAGAACCTGCTTAACAAGTGGTGCAAGGTAGAGCAATTAAAGAGGTAAATTAGTTTGTTTAAAAGGCATTAGTTATGTTTTTCTTGGAAAAATATTGGCAATTATAGTTCACAACATCTTGATACTGTCGTTTTGGAAAATACTTTGTCTTACAGCCTTTTCTATCTAATGCCCATGAAAAATTATTTGATACAGTTATGGGAATATTAATTAAATGTAAATTTATAAATTACTCTCTACCTCTCTATTATTATAAACCAAATGACACTCATCCATTGGGTCATCCTGACCTTATTAAGTTGATTAAATCTATATCACTTTTGGCATTAATTGTTAAGCTTTGAAATTTCTACCAGGCCATGCTATGAGCCTATAAGTTACTATTCTGTTTTCAGCATACTATATTTGCGGAAAGATGTATGAGGTATTCAATAGAAATAGGTGTATTAGCTACATTACTTGTTATACATAGTTTTGTTAACTCTGATTATCTGCAAAGCAACATTTATTACAAAGTATTACCTTGCTTTAGAATTAGACTTTTTTTCTCTAAAGTTGAAGCTTCATGTGTAGCAATCTGTCTAGATTAAACCATGCTGCTTTCTCTTTTATCTGATGCTAACTGACATGCTCTCCTCTTTGTGAAACTTTTAACTTCTCCAAATGTCTCTCCTTCCACCACGCTGCTCTGGATTAAAAGGTGGGGATAGCAAAATGTGTCCACCCCTTTGCAGTTACTCAGGGCTCAACAGTAACCCCTCCAATGAGTTAGATTCCTGTAATACTTACAGACAGCATTTGGACATCCCACGTGACTCACAGAGGGCCATTACTTTCAAAAACGGCTGGCAAATGGCCCGGCAAAATGCAGAGGTCTGGAGCAGCACTGAGGAAACGGTTTCCCCCAAAATCAAATCCCGTAGTTGTGATGATCTCCTCAACGATGACTGTGATGGCTTCCCGGACCCAAAAGGCAAGTCAGAAAGTATGGGCTCCCTGTTATGCGAAGAGGACGCCAAGGAAAACTGCCCCGCGCCGTGGGCTTCCGCCTACATGCCGGAGGGCCGCAGTAATGGCAGATCAAGGCTTCGGCACAGGGCAGCCCACGACGCCCCAGGGTTCCTAAAAATGTACAAGAAAATGCACCGCATTAACCGCAAAGATCTGATGAATCCCGAGGTCATTTGCTCCGTCAAGTCGAGAATAATGCAGTATGAAAAGGAGCAGCAACACCAGGGCCTGCTGCACGGATGGAGCCAGTCCTCCACAGAGGAGGTGCCCAGGGATATGGTGCCCACCCGCATTTCTGAATTTGAAAAGTTGATTCAAAAGTCAAAATCCATGCCCAATTTAGGAGGTGAAATGTTATCTCCTGTGCTCTCAGAACCACAACACAATGGTTTATGCCCCAAAAGGCGATTTTCCATTGAGTCTTTGCTAGAGGAAGAAAATCAGAGTAGACACCCTTCTCAGGCACAACAAAGCTACAAGTCTAGAACCCTGGTGCCCATTCATATTGAAGTCACCAGTGATGAGCGGCCCAGAACGCATATGGAGTTCTCTGATAGCGACCAGGATGGAGTGGTGTCTGACCACAGCGATTACATCCACGTGGAGGGATCGTCCTTTTGCAGTGAGAGTGACTTTGATCACTTTTCGTTCACGTCCTCTGAAAGTTTTTATGGATCCAGCCACCATCACCACCATCACCACCACCATCACCGGCACCTCATCAGCTCCTGCAAAGGCAGATGCCCTGCCTCTTACACTCGATTTACCACAATGTTAAAACATGAAAGAGCTAAACATGAAAATACTGAAGAGCCCCGAAGACAAGAAATGGACCCTGGCCTTTCTAAACTTGCATTTCTAGTGAGTCCTGTGCCTTTCCGGAGGAAAAAAAATTTGACTCCCAAAAAACAGACTGAAAAGGCAAAATGTAAAACGTCGGTATTTGAGGCTCTGGACTCTGCCCTGAAAGACATCTGTGACCAAATTAAAGCAGAAAAGAGAAGGGGAAGTTTGCCAGACAACAGTATATTGCACCGTCTTATCAGTGAACTGCTGCCAGATATTCCTGAAAGGAATTCATCACTTAAAGCTCTAAAAAGGAGCCCCATGCACCAGCCTTTCCACCCACTGCCTCAAGATGGTGCTATTCATTGTCCATTGTACCCAAACGATTGTGGGAGAATGCCCCACAGTACCTCTTTCCAAGACATGGACACCAATAACAACAACTACCACCAAGACCACGACAGTGCACTGAGTCTCCAAGGTGGATGAACTTTTCTTTCTTTTTCCTTGTGGTTCAGATACCCACCCTCCAGCTCTTTCATTTTCCATTCCTTCATCTCACCATTCCTGAGCTGTGAGACCACTTGGTATCATTGTGTGTTACGAAGCAAATGCTTGTTGTGCAAACATGTCTTTACTGAGTGATTCTCATTTGCCCTTGTGATATTTGGACTTGATGTGTGGCTTAAAGTGATCATCAATTCACAAAAATTTACTCATTTAAAATCGAAAGGGAAAACCTTTTTGTAACTTAATGTTACGGTTGAAACAACCGTTAAGTCACATCAGAATAAGAAGTTGAACATTTTACTTCAAAAAGATTTCAAGGCAGACACCATAATTGAATATCAGTATCCCTAAGAGACTGACAGCTTTGCATTAGCTCTTTTTTTGTTATTGCAAAATGAATCAAGGCCAAAAGTTTAACAATTAATACCCTTTTCCTTGATTTTCATATTAACTTTGTAGTCATTCATTCAATAAATAATTTGTTCACATTCTATATAGAAAATACAATGTCAAAACAACTAAGAAAGCTGAAGTATGTAATATAGTAATTGATGGACAATTTAAAAAGACTAGGAATTGTTTAATAACTTTCTCCATTTAAAGGACACAATTGGGATAAAATTTTTGTGAATGAATCTTTAAGCTGTGTATGTATATATATATAAAAGTCTCATTTCCATCACTCAGTGTATTCATTTCCTCTCTCTTTCCATTAAGTAATTTATTTATTTTCTATTTCTGCTAAAACAATTCTATATTGACATTTGAATTAAGCTATTTGTGTTAAAAGTGGCCCTTGACTTGGTTTTCACAGATGGATTATCACCTTGAAGTGGCAACACAAGGATAAATAGCAATTCAGATGCAGAGGACTTTTTTTTTTTTGAGGTTTACATAACTGAAAAGAACATGGTGTTTTGCTATTTTCATATGATTCTTTTCATTAATTCTTAAGGTGCACCTGTTTACCATGTAAATTTTAAGAAGTTGGAATGAACATTCCAGGCTGAAACTTGGATCACCAACAGAAAGCCTTCTATGCAGCATACATTGAAAAGTGTTTTACGTATATTATCTAATTAACACTGGCATAAACGTAGGTGATAGGAATTATTGTAAGCACTGTTTTACAATTAAGGAAGACCCAGAGAGGGCAATAAATTTGACCAATGTTACACAGAGAGAAGGCAGCAGTAACAGATTCAAACTCCTAATACTTAAGAATTTGTAGTACAGAATATGATCTCTATAGACAAAAAAGAGACATAATTCAAATTTCACATTAATGTAATACATGGCTCATTATCATATATATCATTAGCAGTGATAATTGTTAATTATCATTGCATATATTTACTATTTTATTAGTATTTATCTTTGCTTCATTATATTATGCATGCCACATGCTTCAAAAGACAATCAATTAGAATTTTAAAAATCAACTTCTACAATTTGAAATTTTCACTGATTGAGACATGTCAGAATCTAAATTTTTAATAAATTAGCTGCCTTTTTTAATTTTTCAAAATCCTAATTTAATCATCCCTCAATTTTATGTGTAGGTAGAATATGTATTTTTATTGAAACTTGATTTGAGGGGGTTTTGAAATGCATTGAAAGGGTAGTTTGTATTTTAATCAAATATTTTGTTTCCAATTGTGCTTAATCCAAGTGAAAAATAGTTTCTATGCCATGGGTTAGTAAAAGTAATTTAAAATTTATGATTATGACATCCTTATGATCATAAAAATATATTAATTTAGAATGAAAAATATACTACACATAATCCTCTAGCATTTTTGAAAATAGCTGGTTAGGTTTTACTGAAATATTTATGGCCATGCTGTCTTGCTACTAAGCCTAAAGGCGTTGGGATCCAAACCTCACATTTATCCTTATCTTTCATTTAAGTGATACCCAACCTGCTGTAAGTAGACAATTCTTCCTTATAATCAAAGTAGTTAAAACATTTAAGCGGTGTTTTCTTTTTATGGATCAGCATTTTTCATTCCTTTGCAGATGGATTTATTTTATTTTTAATGCTTGTTGTTATTCAACATAACTAAATTTATTAAAGGGATAAGCAAAATAATATATAAGTTTTGACCCACTTATACTGGTAAAATTTTATAACATAGGCTACTGGAATACTTTTAGCCTCTAGTTATATTTTCACATATAAATGCAAAAGGTATAAGATACCACTAAAGTATCCTTGCAATCATAATTTTATAAAGTAATTAATTATTTATATGTTGTGTTAAGGGGAATAAAAACAATTCAATATTTCATAAGCAATTTGCAACTGATATGATACTATCTGTTTAGCGAATTTCTATCCCTTTGTTTCTTGGAATACATATTTACTTTCTGATAAGCTAGTGAGCACAAGGGAAGGCCAGAGATAAAGGCCTTTTAAGTATTAAGCCTCAAGATGACATCTTAAGACTCAATAAATATTTTAAAATAGAGAGGAGAATGGACATGACCATAGTTCTGTCATCATCATACTTTCTTTCTTTTTCTCTTTCTTTTTCATTACTACATTCTTAAAGTGCTGTTGCACAAAATGTTTCTCTAAATTGTTGCTATTCCCCCATCTTCTATAGGCCTTATAATAGTAGTTATAAATTGGAAGCAAAAAGAATAGAAATGGAAAATATTAAAATGCCTTTAAGATGAAAAATCCTTGCAATTATGAGGTGTCTACACAGGATGCTGCTGTATAATTATATTAGCAATGCAACAATTATATTTATATATAGAATTATAATACTTCTGCTACCTCAGATATTTTTCCTTTTGAAATGCTCTGTTTTCTGTGTCTTGTATCACAACTTTATGATTACCTATGAGCTTTATATCCATGTCTTCCATTGTGGCGTCTCTCCAAATTTTAGGTGAAAAATAGTTGCCACCAGGGAAAATGGCTAAACAAGTCTGCTTTTAATAGGTGGATACTCACTCTGGCCCTGTCCTTTCCAATAGACCGTGAATCCCCTAGAAGTTACTCGTCCACTTTAAGTGACTTGGGGAGAAGTGCACCAAGGGAAAGAAGAGGAACTCCAGAAAAAGAGGTAGTTATCTCAATATCATTTGAGTCTTTTTCAACAACATACTTGATAAAGCACTTGCCAGCCAAAGGTACGTCTCAAACCAGAAAAGAACCCAGATTAAAAACATAAAAATGACAGTTTTCCCTGGAGCCTGAGCAAAGGACTCGAGCCCTTTGCATTCTGACCCTCGCTGCAGATTTCCCCCAGTTGTGGTCCAGGGGTGGCAGTGAGGCCTCTCTGCCTCTTGACCTCACACCCATGAATTAAGACTTTTAGTTATGGTCTAAAGGAGTCTTGAGCCGGGCCACCCTGTGGAGGAAGGAGGGTACAAATTCCTGGCCCAGTGGTATAGGGGGAGAGCCCTAGGTCAACTGTGTTGCAAATCAGTACAAATTCTACATAAATAATTTTTGCTGGCCTGTTTTTGTTGGAGAGGGTCCCTGAAAAACCACTGTCTCTGGAAACCACCTACCTCCTGGCTCTTTGTCCAAGGCCCTGAGCCAGGGCCGGAGCTCTGGCTCCCACTGTCTTGGAGCCATGAAGGTTTGATGGAAACTGGAAGCTGGTCTTGGACTGGCAGCCACTCCAGGAATGTCTGATACAGTCCTGTGCCCGTGGGACCCCTAAAGAAGTCAAGAATGGTCCAGATTGTTTAGTTTACCAGGATCACAGAGAAAAAGAGTGGGGTGAGGAAATTACTGGGAAGTGGGGAAGCCAGAACTGGAGTTGCTAGCTTATAGGTGTCCCAGTCAGATCTGTGGGCCCCACGGTTTAATGGGGGGCACGTGTCACATCACGTCATGACTAAAAGATGAGCAGCTGGTTTACCATGTGCTGAAGAATTCCTGAACCCTGCAGGGAATGCAAGATCATCAAGCCTGTCCTTTTGGCTACTAACTAGCCTCCCAGTGATAATTGGGCTAATATGTCTTTGCTATTATGTTAATATGTTTAGAGAAAGGGATGTTGATTTCCTTCATGATTTTTTCCAACCCTTTTATTATGATTCAGAAGGAGTTGTGTCAATACATAAGACAGAGCAAATGACCCTCCACAATTATCCCAGGAAATGCCTTGGTTGCAGCCAAAATTATATCTAGAACAGAATCCTCTGCAAGCATTTTATCCTCCCATTATGACATTCATCTACCTTTGTTCCTAAGATGAAATATGATATTCAATTGTTATGGTGACTAAATCATCTATTATATTCCTGCTACAGCTTAAATATCTAAATGAAGAACTAATTAATTTATTCATAAATTGCATGTAGAATTTACATTATGTATGTTGAATCCTTCCTTGAGGTTTCATTTCTCTTTAATTCATGTAAGACTGCTTTCTTGTAGGAAATACAAAATTTAAGTTAGTGCTAATCATTTACCTTCCTTTTCAGAAATTTCCTGCAAAGGCTGTTTACGATTTTAAGGCTCAGACATCTAAGTAAGTAAGATAAGTATTCATCATGTAATTTAAGTTGGCTTTAAATACTTTAGTAATACTTTTAAGAGATAAATATCGCTATGGGATGTGTTACAAATAATTCAGCAATCCAGTCTAATTAAATGGTTCCTTCTGAATTAATTTGGATGTGGGTAATTTTATTTTCATTTTGAGTTTAGTTGAGAATCACTGAGTTTTAAATTACACTAAACATGTTAGAACACAATGAATTCAAAGTGACAGGAAAAACAAAAAAGAAATGAAGAATCTTTGTTTCTAAAATTTTCACGTCAAGCATGAAATAGAAATAAAGTGTTGGGGAGTAATTAACACTCTCTGGGAGAATTTGATAACATTTATTTATCCAACTGTATTAAGGATTGTTTGTGGGGTTGAAGACTAGAACTGTGTGCAAAGACTCATATAGTAAAATCTCCATGTCTCTACATTGGGAGCTAGTAGATTCTGAGCAAAGCTCTCTCTTGGGGTCTTCTGATGCTGGTGTTTTCACACTCCTGTGTTGCAATATTTTTTAAAACTTTTTTCTTCAGTAACTTGTTCATCAGATGGATATGTGGTTGAGGAAAGCTAGTACTAAGAAAATGAGTAGGCTTAAATGGGAGGGAGTCTTCCAGCTTAGTGTTGGCCCAGGTGCCCAGACCTTGTTCAAGAAATGTTAGTTTCCATTAGAATTCAAGATATTAAATTCATTGTAAATCAGCATTAAATTACACTGCGTAGTTTAGACTCAATGTAGATAATAACCAAAATATTTATTCATAAAAATGCATATTATATGAATTCATAGTTTCAGAATTTGTCTCTGGCAGAAGACATGTAAAAAATAAAATCACTCAGAATTTGGTAATGCTGCTGAGATAGGGAATAAACCAAATAAGAAAATGCTATTTAGAAATAAAGATGTTGAACATGGCTTAAATCTGATGTTAAAAAAAAAAAAAAACAGGGCCAGCTGAGCGGCGTGTTGGTTAGGAGTTGGCTTGGGGTGCCAGCTCTGAGCAGCAGGGCCCCAGTTCGGATCCCACATGAAGGCCAGTGACACTGCGCCCACTACAGCTAAGATGGTGAACAACAGCTCAACCTGGAGCTGAGCTGCCGTGAGTCACCGGCGACGGCGACAGTGTAGGCTGCAGTGGGGCTGGCCAGCAGAGGGCGTGAGCCACTGTGAGTGGCCGTCCAATGGCTGGGGAGCAACTGTCTCACCCGGGAAGAGCGCAATGATAATACCAACAGGGACCAGTGAAACGATGTCCTCCACAACTAGACTGAAGAACAAAATGACAGCAACTTGTCTGTTCCTTTCCCCCAATTCCCCAATAAAATCTTTAAAAAAAAAACAAAAAACAATCCCACATAAAAATTTGCACCTTTTTTTGATTAGGTAAGTAACATCTGCTTTGTTTCTACTACACTCTGGTTCTAACTACTATTCTTTGGATATGGTGTGACAATTTATACAATGCATGTTGGTTTTATGAAATAATAGTACAGAACACGTAAATTTCATTTTCTCTTTGAGACAATCAATCAAAAGCTTCCTTAAATGTAGGAAACCATGAGGAATGACAGGGCATAAAAAGTAGGCAGGGTGTCTGCCCAGGACTCACAGGGCTTTTGAGAAACCTTAATTAAAAACAAGGTTTGAGAGAAAGATGACGTGCAATGCATAGGGAGGGTGTTTGGGGTGTTGACTGTCACTGGATTTTGTTTGCTAGAATCCTAAGTCCTTCATCCTTCCCCAAGGTCATGTCCTCATCATGAATGCTCAGAGTTAGCAAAGGTTCAGGGAATCACGCTGTTTCACATGCCACCTATGGGAGTGTAAATGGCACAGCCTTTCCGAAGGGTTTTCTACACCACCCCTTTCACAAGTCATCCTAAACCAACTAAATTTAATTGTATATGCCTTCAAAGAAGTAGATTAAATAATCACCCACGGGAGCCATCCCATAATTTTAGTAATAAAAAAATTATTCTCCTCATACCATAAGTTTATTGCAACTTAATCACATCCCTCTTGTTCTGTTCTCGGGGGACGTAAAGAGCAGTTGTTCATCATCCCCAAAGTATTAGTTACTTATTTGACACAAAAATCAAGGTATGGACGACTCATGCAACTATAAAAGGCTCACACATCCGACAGCACTGAAAGTTACTGAAGGATTAGCCACATTTTTAAGTCATTTCAATTAATAGCTAGATGTGAGTGCTTTTCATGCCTGACACCTTATAAACAAGAGATGGATATCTGTTTTAAATAAATATCTGTTTTAAAAGCTATTTTTCTTTACCTAATACAAGAAAGTTAATTTTAAAAAATTAGGTAACTCACCAATTGTCATGCCTATTGTTAAATAGGAAAAAGAGATAAAATGGCATTTCCTAAGGTTGTCAATAGCCAGTATTCAAAGTGTGTGGGGGGTAGGGTGGGAGTAGTGAAGTGAACTTACCAAAATGGGACACAGAAACTCTACCCCTGAGATGAGAAAGATACAATTTTGAAAACTGTTAAGTGATTGACTACTACCCTCTATGTAGATGACTTCAAATTTTAAACATAAGCTTTATAAATAGAAAATGTTTTTCATCTTTAAAAGAAAAATAATTTGTCGTCTCTAATTTACATTTTTTTTTAATTTTATTTTAAAGCTAAGCTTCTTAGTCTCATTTCCAGAAACAAAACATACCTGGCACAAAGAAAACTGTTGAACTGTAAACATTAAATGTTTTGTTTCCTGTTGTCTACATCAGGCACTGGCATCAAAGAATGAAGTGCCGTATTTGGAATGTAAGGTTCTGTGAGTCCTCTTTGTCTTTAGGGTTACACACTTCTAAATGTGTAATAATTCTTTTAATAGGTAACGGTTATTTCAATTTTTTTACTCAATGAGAAACAGTCTACCTCTGATATATACCTCCCTCCATTACATATTCCACACACAAAAATGATCTAACTCAAGATTCTGAACTAAACAATGCAGGAGATTCAGAGCGAGAAGGCAGATGTGTAGGGAAGTGGGGCTCCTGGGAAAAGAATGAAATAAGTGTCCTCCCACAAAAACGTAACTGTGGACGCGCAAAATACCACACAGACACGATCCCTTCATGATGAAGCCATGAAAACCTGATGGAGTAAGGGTGAGAATTTATGCGTGGATTATTCAAAATGAGTAATGGCTTTATCCCTTAAAATTAAATACCCAAATATATCTACTGTCTTCTTAGAAAGAAATTAAATACCCAAATATATCTACTGTCAAAGCATAGTGCCTTGAAAATATTTTTATTCTTTAAAAACAAAAAATAAAGGCAACAAGTAATCTGTGCATGTCTTTGTACTTAAAACATGTTTATCTTTGTGCCCCATTGAAAATTAAGAGTATACGATCTTTTCTGTTTCACAAAATAAATTCCTTATCAAGATATGCTACTCAAATGCCTGTCAATCAGCTTCAAAGATCCACAAATAAAAATTTTTCTGGTGTTGGTACTTTTGTGCTAAGGCTCAATGTTATTTATTTTCTTGTTGACAGCTTTAGCATACGAAAAGGAGACAGCAAGTAACTAACTAGCTCACTAGCTTCAGGACAAAAAAATAATAACAGTGAACTCATCTATCATTCCACCAAGCTTCACAACTTCTCTACTATAAACTAATGTTTAGATAGAAATAGTCTATCCTACCAATTAAATTTCATATTAATCTGCCTGTGATTTATATTAGACATGATGTTTATACTTGTTATTTTTGAAATGATTTCTAAAGTTTTAATGTTATAAGTGAATTCTATGAATTTGAAAGAAAAATTCTTATCCAACTGGGCTCGACAGATTTTTTTTTTTTAAATATTGGAAGTATATTTCCCAGCCAAATCCAGATCTAACGTCTTAAGAATAATTGCTATACATCGAGACAACAAAAACATTGAAACACGTCTCTTCCAGGGAGTTGTCATTTAAGAAAGGAGATACTGTCTACATCCTCAGGAAAATTGATCAGAATTGGTACGAGGGAGAGCACCGTGGGAGAGTGGGCATTTTCCCAATTTCATATGTAGAGGTAACTCCTTTCCTCTTATTTCGTACGTGGTTGCTGTTTCTGAAGTCACCACAGGTCAAAACTAAATAGTTGTTTTCCCTCATAGAAACTCATGCCTCCTGAAAAAGCACAGCCCGCGAGACCACCTCCCCCAGCCCAGCCTGGAGAAATCGGAGAAGCTATAGCCAAATACAATTTCAATGCTGACACAAATGTGGAGCTCTCACTGAGAAAGGTAACCTGGCTGTTTTCTTCATTGGTGCATTTGAAAGGCTGTGCATTTTCAAATCTAAAATAGGTTATCTTCTCCTGAGACATCTTTGCATTTTCTCATAAGGAAAGAACAAAAAACTCCCTGAGGCTGCCCTGAGTCAGTTTCCTACTGCTCCTTGTTCCTTGAGTCCTTCCAGAGAAAGTTCCCTGTGGGACCCAATGCTTCTCAAAGGCTTTCCCTCCCAAATCCTCTCCACGGGGTGCCTCAGCCTGATATCATGGAGTTACACATGTGGGAAAGCATCAAAAGGAAAAGTCCTTGAACACACTTCAAAATATCGTTCTTCTGCTGCCTTATTATTCAATTTTTTTTTTAAAGAGACGTCCCAAATCCTGCTTTTCTCTGTCTTGGAATTAAGGCAAGGTCCTAAAGTAATGAAGATATTTCTTATTGGGGAGCATTTTGAGAAGCCGTTTGTACAGTCCTGTTTCCTTATTGCTACTTGACACATTTGAGAATGATGAAATAAACTATTTTCATTGTTTGTTAAGCAATCACATATGTTTGTTTGAGGTAACTGCATGTCTGCACACAACACAGACCACACAGTAGTAATATGCAAGGGTTCTAGAACCACTCCTGCCCATTGGTGAATGCTTAACCAGGAGCAATGAAGGGAAATACTGGAAGTACCGCTGCTCTTGTTTGGGCAGAGCCTCATCTCTGCCCTTTCAGTCCTAGTTCTGCATCATCAACTGATTCTCTCCTACCCTCCAAGCTACAACACAGCATTACATGAATAGTATCCACTGATGTTTCATACTTCCACCAGTGCAATTTATAGCTCAAGCAATAGCCTAACAATAGCCCGAGCTTGGTGTAGTACAGAGAAAATCAGTGCAATTTTAAGATTTAACGGGATTTCATTTTTCTTCAGAATGTTCTGCTCAGTAGTGGTGGGACAGTCTATGTAAACCATTCAGCATTTTGGCAAAAAGAGAACTTTCACCTTGAGTACTATGTGAAATAGGCCTCCTTACTGTACTCAAGTTTTGACTGTGTGTCATCTCTACTTCCCCGTCAAGTGCAGCTGCCCAAACTTCCGTACTATCTGCTGGATGCAGCTGCAGAGTTTTTACTGTTTAACCATATCTTGCCTATTTATTTTTGGGCCATATGTGGGTTTGAGTTGAAATTTAATCTGGGTTTTGTGGCACTGGCTGCAGGTAGCAGGACTAGTGATTGTAGAAAGTTCTGTTATTGCAAAAGCCAGGGGTTCTATAAAAATATTTAATGATCACTACGGCATGGCCACCCACCAATCAAATGGATACTGGTGTTCCACCATCTTGATGGGCACCAGGTGGCCACAGTGATGGATTACCTAGGGTGCTATGTTTGCCCCATCCCATTAGCTTCAATTTTTGTTACAAGTTAGCACATGTAGGTGAAAGAAGAAAAATGGTGTACCATTCAACTTCATCCCTTCTAGAGGTGGGTTTCTGCAACCCGCTTCAGACACACCATCCCAGAGAGATGAGTTGCACTTTTCTGAAGCTCTTCCTACAAGTCATTCCCAGAATCTGTCAGTGATAGGATGATGCTACTGTCATTGAGACATTGCCTATTAAACTGTTCTGCTTTTCGAAATAACTTACACAAGTCATTTCACACAGTACCAGTGTAAATATGTATAAGCTCATTCATGTTAACTGAGCATTGTTTGGGAAGGTTCTAATGTCATGAACGGATGATTAAATTGCATATATGTTGATAAGCTATAATTTGGGAGTGAGCTCTAAGACTTGACTTGAATTCTCCTGTCGAAAATAGACAAACAAACACAACTGATGATATGAAACTTTCCCAAATGGAAAACTACTGTTTATTAGAAAACATTGACAGTGATATTTGTATGTTACCACATCTCTATTTATAATGCATTTTTCTAACATTCCTTACAGGGAGATAGAGTTATTCTTCTCAAAAGAGTTGATCAAAACTGGTATGAAGGTAAAATTCCAGGAACCAACAGACAAGGCATCTTCCCTGTTTCCTATGTAGAAGTTGTCAAGAGGAACACAACCAAAGGCGCTGAGGATTACCCTGACCCTCCAATACCCCACAGCTATTCAAGTGATAGAATCCACAGCTTAAGTTCAAATAAGGTAAGAGGACATTTAGCATATTAGTATAACATTTGGGAACTTGGAGTAAGATAATCAGTAGGTGATTTTAGGGTGTTAGACTAGAACATCATGTTTATTGCAAACCAAAAGATTTATGTGATAGGATTCTAAGTGTGAGTGCCATGTCAAGTCAATATAATTTGAGTTTTCTTATGGGTGGCAGCATCAAGGTTTAATGCTTGATGTTTTAGAATTTCATTTTCAAGTTAAAATGCTGAAAGAGAAAACATTCGTATCATAAGACCCGATGTGATATATATCTGTATCTATACATAAGTATATCTGGTTTCTGAAGCTCACATTTTTTGAAGCTTGATTTTTCTCTACAGCTTGATTTTATTTATATGTGTGTATTTCATATGGATTATATAGATGTACATATATGCACATATGCATCTATAGATAGATTGATAAATCTCAAAATAGTTTATTTCAATAATACACAGTCATTAGGTTGAAAAAATTCTATAAAAGTCTCGGGGGTTTTAATATAGAAACAGAGAGTAAAATTTTTCAATTAAGGTCTGTAAGTCAGTTTGTTTATTAGTTTGAATGGAAATTTTCATTGGTTATTAGAAGTCCTCAAGTGTATTTTATTAGTTTTAGAATAATTATGTGCCAGTTCTATTCTCTCACTTGAGCTAGCAGGTAAAAATAATTATCTTTCTCAATGTTTAATCTAAAAGGGACTTTGCTTCCTGATCTGGTTAATTAATTAGAAAAGGCTATTCTCCTACTTTCTTTGTTCACAATGTGAATTTTTTCTTAATTTTTCTGTCCAATTATAATATAGTGTGTTCTTTCTATGGATAGTATTTAGAAATGTCTTTCTCCTTTTCATTAACCTCTAAGTGTAAAACTTTAAATTACCAAGGAATCACTTCTAAAATATTGTACTTCCCAACATCTTAAAATTTTATTAAGTTGCATAATTTATTAATTATCTTAATAAATAATTAATATCAAGGCTAGGACATGGGAAAATAAACCATCTAGAGCTACAAAATAACATTAACATATCAGACATTTTTAAAGTGTATAGTCATTTCAGGTTCCAAAGCAAGCTCATTTCAAAATAACACCCCCAGTGACTTAAACTACCCCTTAAAAATGAGACTTAGAAGCATTTTACATAAGTAAGCAATCTAAGAATCTACTATTTTAAGACTAGCAAAGACTAGGCATTGTATTTATTCTACTTCTCTTTGAAGACTGGGTTTCAGGTGTGGGGTAATTACTCTCAATCTTTTTATCACTGGATAATGGAATGGTTTGGCACTATCCAATTTTGTTGGGTTGGTTATAAAGTTTTCCAGAATCTTCTTCAGTATATTTACTACCAGAGCTTAGCATTTAGAGACCAGCATTCTTCCTTCAGTAGTTTCTACTGATAAATGAAAATATAAGAATTGTCATCCATACATTTGAACTTATCCACTATTGAGTCATCTTAAAAGAACTACCAGATAAATTTCAAAGCGACTATGCCTTCAAATAAAATTTTATAAGAAAGAATAAGCATGTATCTACAAAGTCTTATTTAACAGTTAGGAAATTCTTCCACAATGTCCTAATTAATATTGGTAATGTAACATTTTAGATCACAATGTTTTAATCTATGTCATGAATATGATTTAAATGTTTTTTTCAGCTTCCTGTTTTCTTATAATAGCAGATGTTATATTTTATAAATAGAAAAATGTACAAATTTCACTAATAACTAATTAGTATTTTACTCTCAGTGCTGAGGGAAAAAATATGTTGAAAGGCTTATATTCATAATTTGAAAAAAAAAACACCTAATTGTTTTATTCCAACTGGTAATCTATGCTATGATGCTATTGGCTTAAAGAAAGAAATTTCTCAGTGTTATTGAACTCCATCATTTTCAGAAAAAGAACTATAATGTACTTCTAAATGATGACTTCCAAAATATGTAAACGTTACATATTTTATTTTCTAACTAATATTTGCACATAAAGGAAGGAACATCTTAAGTGATTTATGAATCACTTTTTAGCATACTCAAATCACATTTTGTCACATACTGTATTTTAGGAGAGACTCAAATGTAAGTTGATGATATTTCTGATATTTCTGCTTTCAGTGCAGTAGAAACCAATTCTAATGCTTTTGGAAGAAAAGATAATTTTATGATTTTGCTTAAAGGTATATTTTTGTGATATAGATACCCCAAGATACTTAATTTGATTTTCAGTAGAAACAAGTCCATTGTAAACCTAAGCACTTTAAACCTGTTAACGTATATTAGTGACTGTGGTGGTAATGACACTGGAATAGTAATAGTGATGGGAGCAGTAATGGTAACAATGGAATGGAAGGCTCTTTCTTTTTCATCTACATAATATTCCTGTCCACGAGAGAGTGAAAGTGGGAAGTATTAATCTTGGGTTATTATATATGTCACAGACTTTCAAAATTTATTATTGTGTTGCATAATAAGAGCATAAAATTGAATTCTGGCCAATAAAGGAACTTCTCTAAACTATCAAATGAGACTTAGGTCATTTCTATCTAATTAAACATTAAATATATACAGGACTTGCAAGGAGTGTGTGTCCATCCAGTAACAGATCACATGCGTAGTAATCAGTTTATATTGGGTGCCAAAGAGCCTTTATTCCTGAATCTTCTGTTAAGATGCTCACAAGAGTTTTGTGACACTTTGTCTCATTTATCCTACTCAATGATGACATGACATGATACTTCTTTTTTTTTTAGCTGAGTCATCCTGCCTCAGCAGCAGCTCAGCTCAGACCAGGACTCTAACCGTTTTTGCTCAGAGTCAGAGCTCGTGCTCTTGAGTGAGCTCTTAACCAACTGAGCCACTCGGCCGGCCCCATATTTCCTTTTTTTAAAAAACAACAACAACTGAATAAATTCTGTTAGCACCCCATTCGTAGTACAGGATACAGAAGTCAAAAGATAAATGGGGGATGCACTGTGCACTGATACGTACTAACGCCCTAGGACCAAGAGTGCTGAGTGCATGAGTGAAGTCTGGTCCTAAACAACCAACTAGAGAGTACGTCTCCAAAATCTTTCTTGACCATTTCTTCTTTCCAAACCAAAATCATCTACCTAGAAAGAACTAAAGGAAAATGGTATCCACCAGCCTCTCCCAGGCCTTCAAATGTACAGCACGTACCAGTCCTTGTAGTCCAGCAACAATAGATAGATGTGTTAGAATGCTGCTAGGCAGCATTTCTAGAACAACTTTTAGTGAATTTACATAAAAATTGTTTTGCTCTATATATCCAGAATATAGCGATTATTTTAAGATATACAGAAGTATATTTTTACATCAGGAGGTTAAGCTTCATAAATTATACCTCCACAGCTTTACATAAAATGTCAGGCGTTGGAGAGAGAATGGGAGTTCTAGCTGAAGGGTTCTCCCATTAGCATCAAATGCTCTCTTTCTTTGTAATTATTTATTTTGGATTCTTTTTTAAACTTTGAAGTAGTTGTTAATGTAAGTTTGGTTTCATTCTAATTGTGGGTTCTGTTCTTGAAATATATTTTTCAGAACTTATTCATTTAGAAATGTGTTAATGTATAATGATGTCAAAATATTTATGCCATATGTTACAATCATCTTGCAAACATAAGTGAAAAAATTATGAAAGTTCAAATGATTTGGCACTGCTACAGGAAGAAAGAGCACTAAACACATTCAAGAAGTAAAAAAAGATTTAATTATTGGTTTTCATTCTACATGAACATTATTTCAGTCATTTCTACTACTAAAGTCGATATCTGGAAACCTTAAGTTTAAAAGAGGTAGTCTGTTAAACTAAATCTCTTACATTTTTCTGTCTGTCCTTATAATTTCCATAACAACTCTATTTTGTCATATGAAATATAAGATCTCTTCCAAATACTAGGAGAGTTTCATTTTCAGATAATTTTCTAATTAATATACTAATGATTTTATGTATTTAAACTCAGCAAAATATCTTCAGATCTAGACCGTAGCATAAAATATTTTTTACATTCATTACCACACCTTTCCTGTATTTCTCTGTCTCTGTGTATTGATGCATTATTATCATTTTTTTTTTTTTACTTCATAATTCTTGCTCATTTCTAAGCCAACTTGCAGTCAACCAGCCCCTCCTCCCATGCACAAAGCTTCATGTGACCCAGATAATGGAGCTCTCCCGGGAATCACCCAGGGGTGGCTGTCCCTGACAGCCCAGTGTCCGCTGGCAAAACCTTTGACCCCAACACCACTTCCTTCTCTGGACAACTTCTTGGATGAATTAGAGAAGCTTGGTGCTTTAATCTTACCAGCTGACCAAGCCAAACCAAATAGCCTAGAGGAGATCACCCTGGAAATTAAAGAGGAACCCTCAGTTCTCCTCCCACTGCCTGCAGCATCTGTACCTGCCAAGTCACCTTCCTCTCAACCACCTTTTCCTCAATTGGAGGTGACCCCAACTGCAGTCCAGCCTTATGAGGCTACGCCACTCCAGGATCCCAGAAAGACAACTCAAAGCAAGTGTGCTGATTTGACAAACATGAGAAAAGGCTTTGCAGGCCCCGAAAAAGCACTTGAAGTCCTAGGTGATAAGTTTGTGGCATCCACACACACTAATGTGAGTCCCTTGCCCCAAACCCTCCCTGTCATTGGAGAGGAAGATGAGGAGATCTGTGAGGGTGTTATGTCAGGTATCCGAAGAGGGCCAGAATCTCAAGAACCAGATTCCTTGTGGTGTGGCCACAATGGCACAGAGGTGACACCATGCCTGCACATTGAAGAGGAGGAAGAGGAGAGGAAACCTGGCTGCTTAAAATATGCAGTAGCCACCCCCACAGATCCTAGAACCCCTAAGGAAGACGGCAGCGCAGCTAAAACCAGTAATGAGGTATTTTAATTCTGCCTGAAGAACTAAACAGTCTTACTATGATTAGCTATTACAGTTAATCATACTAATCAACATCAATTTTGACATTGCTTGAGAAGGTTTCCTTATAAGAAACACAAGCATTCATGGTTTCCTTATAAGAAACACAAGCATTCATGTCGGGCGGTGGAGTGGGTGTATGGAAACACACCAAATTTTAATAAGATGATGTAAATGTATAATGCAATTTCATTATTTATTTACAACTATAAATTCATATTTAAAGTTTTTATAATTTATAGGTCTTCCTACTTTTCAATATTGATAATGATAGATAATAGCTGAGCTCTTACTGAGTGTCAGACACAATTCTAAGAACTCTACCTCTTTACTTTTCAGAAGGTGGGTTATTATTATCTCCACTGTAGAGATAAGGAAATTGATACACAGATATATGAGTCCAATTCCAGGATGAGAGAACTATATACCATATCTTTGGTATAATGATAGTTTAAAAGGAAAGGAGGGAGGGAGGGAGGAACGGAGGGAGGGAGGAAGGAAGGAAGGAAGGAAGGAAGGAAGGAAGGAAGGGGAAAGAAAAATAGTACTCCGGTTCCTTATCAACTTTTTCTGAAGATGTAATTTTATTCAAATTGGTGACTACTTAAGAACTGGGTCCTGTCTTTTCTTAAAGACAGAGAAACTTGGGCAATGATTTTAATCAATAAAGAGGGGAAATACTCTGAATCTTTAGCTTGTCAAGTTCTCTCTTAAAAAAAAGAAAAACTTGATATGTCAAATATGTAATCTATGAATTAAAAAAATATATGATTACTGGCAAATACTGAGATTATGAAACAAAAGGAATGATTCATGTTATGCCACTGTGCAAGTCACTTCCCCCCATGGATCCTCTATTTAAAAATTTCTAAAAATGAAAATCATTTCCTAAACCCCATGATTTTCTATTAAGATCTTGCCAATAATAAGTGTAGAGGCACTTGGCTTATATGGGGTCTTCCTGGGCTTAAATCATGGTCAGTGCCCATAAGGCCCCCAGACAGTCACAAAACCCTAAGGCTTGACTGTTCCTCAAACAGGAGAGAAAATGTCACCTGACCAAGGAACCTGGCCATACCTGCATTTGTATAAACATTCTACTTAATTAGAGAGATCATTCACTGCAGTAAGTAAAGCGTAATTCTAAGTCAATAACGTAAATAACTAATTGTCTCATCAATTTAATCAATTTTAAGATATGATTAGATGTGGAGCTTGGTTCCCAGGAACTGCTACCCGCCTGTAGACTATGGGGGTGCTTATCCCCAGCCACCCACATAACCACTGGAAATCTTGAATGAAATTCAAAAGAAAACGTTAGTGCTTTTAAAACAAGAGTTTGTCATAAGTATCACTTACTAGGGTACTAGTTAACTTTAAAATCGTTTAAATTGGGGGGATATTTAAAGACCATGTGACCTCATTCTGGACACAAGCATAATCTCATCTCATCTTTCCTCAATATTGAAGCCACCATCATTTTCTTCGGGAGATCGAACGTCTACACCTTTTCCCAGCCGCCTGCTTTCTTCCCCTACCCTTCATCCTCCCCTGGCCTCTGTCTCTGACCTGGTCTCGACACTTCCTCAGCCTACCCAGTCCTACTCACCTCCTCTCCTCCCTAAATACTCTTATCAAAAGGAGATAAGTTCACCACAATTAAAGGTAACTGCATCTTGAGTGTGGTTTATTGCATGTTGGAAATGAACGTAATGAGATGTATATATTTAGGCTTGCGCCATCTTACAAGATCTAAAAAGTCATGTAAAGACAGATTGCTAACTTTTAACATCAACAGCATGGCCTCCATCCAAAAAGCTAAAAGATATATTTGCATTGCAGCTATACCCTTATTGAGGAGAAAAACTAAAATTTATATAAGAATAAAAAGCAACCATTAGGTTTTGTTTGTTTTTTTAAAGTTGAGGGTTAGCAGGAGAACCATCCAATTCAAAGGCGCCTGTCATCCTCTGTCGCTTAGTGGGCTCACTGCCTCCCGTGCTTCTCCCGTCCGTCAAGGTCAGCAGAGCCTGAGGACCAGATGTTCTTTGGCATTGACTGTCTTGAGCCTTGTTCTCCCACAAAACTGAAGTAAATTAAGGAGGATGCAGGAACGAGCTTCTTTTGTAGCAGTTAACAAAGCATCTACCTCCGAGACTGGCAGCCTGGCAACTCTGCTGGTATTTAACTCCCCCTAAGGACATAATTTTAAAAGATTTTTAACCAAACAAATGACTGGCCTTGGAAAGAGATTTAATGGCAATCACAGCATGAAATCAATCCATCATGGAAAAGTTTTGCTTCGATGATCAGAATGATCCAAAATCTTTTCTTTTAGACAAAAGGTGATAGACTTCAAATAATAACCCACCCTCACATTCAATCTTTAGAACTCGAAAAGAGGACCTCTGCAGAGAAGTGAAAAAGCGAAGGCTCTGCTAGAGTCAAGTTTCTGTTCTAGGAAGAACCAACACCTGAGAAATGCCATTTAGGCAATCTTCTAAACCCCTGTCATAAAATCCACCCACCAACATAGTCTGTCTATATGAATTTATCTTACATATGAAAGGAAAAATGTTTGAGAAAGTGGGATACTTTAAGACTAATTGCTCTTTGCCCTTTGAGGTTTTATCTTAGCCAGCAGGAAATAACTAAGAATTTTTTTTTAAATAATAATACTTTACATAATGTCTAAGACGAAGAATTTGCTTTTCCCCCTCTTTCTGTGGTTTTCTTTTTTAGGCCAAAGTATTTCTTCCTTACCCTTCCCTACTTGTGCTCCTGCCTTTAAGCTTCATCCATAAGTGGGAAAGTAACTTTAGAATCAGGGTTCTCTAATTTAGAGAAATGGAGGACTCACCATGCTAGCTAGCATCAAGGACAAAACCAGGATTTAGACAGTTTTATTCTCCCGCAAGAAACAAACTCATTTCATACATACTTTAGATTGCAGTTGTTTGCAGAATGATACAAAAGAATCGAGTTATTCACAATGATGATGTTTTAAAAGAATACTTTAATAACTGCATCAAATAGCTAACTCCAGAAACATGAAGCTGTTTTTCTCTATGTTATCTTCATCTTTCAGAGCAATTTTATCAACCCTTATCAACCATTATTTTACTGAAATCTTCCATAAAAATAAAACTCACCACCACTTTATAAATGACAGACTGAAATGTACATATAAATTATGAGTTTGATATATAAATCAGAATCCAGTATTTTCTCTAGTATTTTGAGCATTTTCTTTAAACAATGTTTTTTTTTCATAATAAAAATTATTACCATCCTCAAGTCTTCTATAAGCTGAGCTTCCAATTCCATCTAAGAGAATATTTTGTCAAAAAGACTTGCAGCATGTGAACTCAAGTTCCAATGGAAGCTCTTTACAAAGAGATAGAAAGACTCTTCAGTTTCTTCTAAGAAACGCAGTTATTATGTGGTCGCATAAGAAGGTCTCCTCACCCTAAAGCCACCCCATCAGAAGGTGACCCCCTTGGGCACAGTTTCCGATATAAAATTAAGCCCTGATTCTTCCTAACATGTTCGAATTACTTTTCCAGCTGTTTATCCACATCATTCCAACAGCTAAATGTTTGGTTTTTTTCTATGAGCCCTGATGTTTACAGACAATCTCCCCAGTATTATGCAAGATTGGGGCAGCTGTAGGGCCAGAAAACTCAAAATAATGATAGCTTAAACAGTGTAGAAGTATATTTCTCTTATGCATAACTGTAAGGCATCCAGGGCTGGAATGTGGCTCCAGAGTCATCAGAGAACCCAGGAGATTCCTTTTTATTTTGGCACATCACCATCCTCAATGAGAAGCTTCTGCTGCATGTTCCAAAGTGGCTGCACCAGCTCCAGCAGTCCCTTCCTCATTCCAGCCAGCAGGAAGGAGAAAAGAGGAAGGGAGCTTCTCCCTTCTCCCTTGCAGGCCACTTCGCAGAAATCGCATATAAGCTATCTATCAGGATTTATCACATGAGCACATGTGATAAAGTGAAATTTCCCTCTATCTTACCTTGCATCTATTCAAATAAGCACCAAGGAAACAGGTCAGATCTGAGGGTGTCTTGAACCCAGTTGTTGAGTGTTCTATTAAAGACATACATAAGTTTTCTTGTATATGTTCTTAGCCATTTACATTGCATCCAAACACCTTCTCTGTGCCAACTTCCTTCTATACATTTGTCTCTGCTCTGCCTGTGACTTTCGGATTAAAGCAGAAGCGATGCCTATGGTGTGAAAAGTGTGGGCATCCAGAAGAGCTGTCTGCAGACTGTTAAACCCTCCCCGCTCTGCTGTCACTCAGGAGTTTGGCATGCTGAGTGTGCATGAAAAAGCAACACAGGGAAGCTCCTCCCGAAGACTGTAGAATGAGGACGAGAACTAACTAACTTCTTATGGCTTTTCTAGGCTGACCTAAAAAGCGAGATATTTGTCTTGGGTAAGCCTCCACGTAGCCCAGTGATGTCTAGGAGATCCTGCAGCTCACCTGTCAGAGGGCTCAACGGTTCCCACAGGGTAGGGATGGACCGCCCTGCCTTGAGCCAGGTACCCTGGCCTCACACATCCCCCTCAGTGGGCTGGCTCCTCCTTACCTGTCCTTGCTGTGCTTTGCCAGTAAAGTAGGGCAGAGGTACCCTTGCGATGAAGTGACCAACTGATGATGAGCTATGAAATCAGACCCACACAAAACTCCTACCCTAAATGTCTGCATCATGTGCTTTCCTTTTATGCGTGTGAATAAGCTGCCCCTAGTCCAGAAAACATGATCACATTCTCCACTAGACAAATAAGGGTGTAGAATGTGTTGTCTTCTACATCATCTCATACTCCTGTGCCAATGTTCTCTGAAAATTGCTGCTTTCCAGTCGCTGCTTTTAGTGCCAAGAATAAAGCTGCTGCCAATCATGTGTTAAACTCTCACACTTCCAGTAATGTCTGCTTCTGTGTTGTTCTGTTTATGTGGGTGTTTTTTTGTTTGTTTTAAATCCATAAGCTTTATTACAGACTATCTCGTGACTCTGGTGATGTGTGCTACATTCACTCCATGACCCTTTTTAAGCCAGTGCTGCTGCTCTGGACTCTAGGTTCTCCCAGTCTCCTGACAGCCTTGATTGAGCTTAAGGACCCAGTACTTTTCCCTTTACCTCCTTAGTTCTACCACATCGTCAGGACTTTAAAATGAATTGGATTCTAACTGGTACTATCAGTCCTGAGGAACGCAGCCAAGGAGTTTGGGAATTCTCATCTCTGCATAAGTCAGCCCTGTCACCATTTCTCTTTTGATGGATCTGGTTTAACCTTACAGGATCTATTACACGACTGGTGCTGCAAGTTTTTTTGTTTTGTTTTAAGATTTTATTGGAGAATTGGGGGAGGGGAACAGTGTTGGGGAATTGGGGAAGGGGACCAGCCAAGTTGTTGTTCTTCAGTCTTCGTTGTGGAAGGCACCAGTCGCCATCTGGCTGCCCGTCGGCAGCTCATGGCCTCTAAGCTCAAGGTGCTGTGTCCAATCTTAGTTGAGGGTGGGTGCAGCCACCATCCCATGTGGGAGTCGAACCAGCAGCCTTGTTGTTAAGAGCGCACGCTCTAGCCACTGAGCCATCCAGGCGGCAGCGCAGCTCAAGGTGCCGAGTTCAGTCTTAGCTGTGGGTGGGCGTAGCCCACCATCGAACAGTCAATCTTGTTGTTACACCAGCTGAGCCATCCTGCCACCTGATGGCAGCTCAGCGACAGCTCAGCTCAGGTTGCAGCATCACTGGCCCATGTGGGAATCGAACCGGTGGCCCTGTTGCTCAGAGCCCATGCTCTTACACTAACTCTTAACCAACTGAGCCACTGGGCCAGCCCTGCAAGTTTTGAAGGGCTTGATTGCAGAAAAAATTTCCTTTTCTGCTTTTTAAAAATATAGATACTTCTCTGTGTTTAATCAGACCTCATTATAATTGCATAATAAGACTTCATTTTGTTTCTGAGGCAGAGATCTGAGTTGCCATAGAAAAAGAGGAATGTTGATTTGAAGAGATTCTTAGACTCCACAGGGGACCTTCCAGAGCCAAAACAAAAAAGAAAGCTTTTTCCACAATTAATATTGCCCATCCACAAATGTCTCATGGGTCAATGAGATGGTATGCTTTGGGTCACTTTAAGTTTTCTTCTTTGCCAGATTTTTTTACTTTATGTACTTGTATATGTGTTTATGTGGAATATAAATATTCTATGTTTTTTAAATTTATGTTTATGCAAAGTTGTGTTTTACCTTCATAATGTAAGAAGGAAAAATAAGCCTATAAGCATAAACATGGTGCTGTTATTAGAAGTCCATCTAATTGTGGTTGGCAAGTACTACAACTAACATTTTCTGGGGGGAAAAAAATTGACTTAAGAACTCTAGAACTGCTTATAACTCTTTCAAAGATTTTTCCATATTAGTACTTAAAGTAACAGTCCATCCTTATTTAAGAATTTATTTGTAAATAAATATAAATATAAAATAAAATGAGACATATTTAAGAATCTACCTAATATTAGATACAGCTAACCCTCCAGAAATTCCTCTACATAGATAGATAGGTTTTGGGCAGACTATCTCATCGTCTGCACTAGAGAAGTATATATTTTACTGATATCAGAGATTTTAGGATATTTCAAACCAGCTTCTTTTATGATCAGTGGTTTGTGATTTAGTTCTGGCTTTAAAAATTAGCATGTGTTTGAAACTTGTCTCATTTCTACCCATCTTGACAACATTAAAAAGTAGCTACACTAAAAGAGAAAAAAAAAAAAAGATTGTTACATTGCCCAGGAAAAAGTTAAGTATTTAGGCTTTGATGAGAACAGCATGATGCCTCACTGGGCTTTCTAATTTTATTGTACTCTTAAGACTCATCAAGATAATACAAGCACGATATAACTCTCACCCAAAACTCCCCGCACGCTGTCTGTAATGTTAACTTGAAAACCACATTCATAAATTCAGTTCATGTGAGTCTCTCTGAATGTGATAAATGAATATTGTTCTATATTTATCAGAAAACTGCTAAGAAGTTATGAAGACTAGAAGTACCCTAGCAGATAGTTAAAATATAAGCGAACGTAGACCAAAAATACTGGTGCCTAAAAAGTGATCGTTTCTCGAGAATTTAAAATGTGGGAAGGGGAAAACACGGTCAGAAAAAGAGATGAATATCTATTCCACATCGTTCTGTGGCCTTTAAAATAGCCTTTCAAAATGAATCCAGGCTGAAGGAACTTGGTGAGAGCTGTCCTAGGGCATAAACTCTTAGCATGTCACTGCACTACCCACCACTAGGTGGCAATAGCACGCGGAAACCTAACATCATTTCCTCAAGGTTTGTGCCCATAGTTGTAACACCAGGAGGGAGAAAGGCAAAAGAGAGTCTCCTAAGATAATTTGCTTGAGTATCCATACAAAACATAAACAGTTGCCTACAGGGCAAAATAAAGACCCTCTTCCATCATAATAAGCTTTTATGCAATAAAGAGTGCAAGTCAAAATTATAATTGTTACTTCTTTTTACTTAGTTACGATTTTAAGAAATTATCTTTGGTTTTAGTTTAGTGACCTGGAAAATGAAGTTGAATTATTGTTTTTGTTGTTACATGACTGAGACACTTGAGAATTAACTGGTAAATGTCAACTGTCATAGTTCTCTGACAAATGAATGGGTAAGGTTGACGGTGGCATCTATACACAACAGAGGAAATATATTTGTGGAAATGTGGATTCCTTTATGGATTCCCTGAGGGGGACAGGCTAGATCTTAATCACTGTCTTGTCCAACTGCTTGATTTTAGAAATGAGGAAGCTTAGGTGCATATCCAAGGTTATATAGTCAATGTCAACACCAGAAAGACACAGATGTGCCCTCTTTAGTATCTATTAATGCTACGTATTTCTCTGTTGATCAAATACTTTTCAAATAAATTAATTCAAATACTGTAATGTCATCTTTCCTCAAAACTGGTTCTTAGTTATACGTTCACATGGCAATGATCCTGTTAAAGGTAGCCTTAGAAAAGTTCTAAAACTCACAATTATTGTAGATATGCAACTTTGCTGCTAATAAAAGCTGTGATAAATCCTGGCCTGAGTAGGTGAACAGTATAGAAAACAGGCGATTCAGAAAAAAAGGGGGAGGGAGGATCCTTTTAAATGATATGAAGGAAAAGACATATTGGGAAAGATGGGTGAAAGCAAAGATGTTTCTGGCTAGCACACCCAGGAGCACAACTTCTTGAGAGGTAGAGAGAGGCCTGTGGAACTAAGGGAGCCACATACTTCTGGCAATAGCCCAATCTTCATCATTGTCAAAGAGATGGTTCATTTAAATGTTGTATGAGATGGGTTGAATGCAAGGAATTAGACTAATAAAATTATAATGACGATAACGAAAAGGTACTATACCAATTTTAAAAGTAGGTTGTTTTATATTAAGGAACAATCTGATTTTTAAAGTAGTGTTCACATTTTAGCATCAGGGAGCAATGAAATTGCTTTTAGCAAGCCCCGGATGCCATGACATAAAAGTCAAATTTTACTCAACTTTAAAATATTAGCATGATTTAAACATGGTGGAAATAGGCATGCCATTTTTAGAGCACAATGTTTTACAAAATATTTTCTCTTAAGACAAGAAAAATAACATTTCTTATTTATAACTTTATCATGCACTGGAAATGGTGCTGATTGTTTTTTGTGAGACAACAGTACGTATCTTGGTATATGGTTTGAAATATGGCATTTTAAATTGCTTTTAAGTTACGTTTTTATATACAGTATATTTGATTGACTAATGTGAACATTTTCAATATTATGTGGCTTGAATGAATAATCTTTGGTCAGAAATTTTATTCCTAGAAATATGTTCTGAGGAATGGTTCAAAAGAAGAAAATAGTTCTTTGTATAAAATGTTTATAACACTGTTATTTATGATAACTAAAAAAAGCTAGACCAATCTTAACTTTAAAACAAAAGAGAAAAATGGTTAAGAGAATAACAAAAACAACAACAAAATATGTATACACACACACATATGTGAGGGATATTATTCTGCAGTGATTTAAAATAAAAAGATTACTGAGAAAGTCTGCAAATTATTACAAAATATATTATGCACATCTTATTTCTGCACAAAAGTTTTATATATGAATATATATGTGTATATATATACATATATATGTATATATATGTGTGTGTGTGTATATATATATATATATATGATTGGATGAGAACTTGAAGAAACCTAATAGCATATAGGCTTATAAATGACTTATATTTGCTTCCTTTTATTTATTTAAATTTACTTAATAATATAATAATATGTTGAATTAAATGATGTTAAATGGCTGAGAATGGTTCAGTCTTAATAATTTTTAAAATAGTGTTTTATAATTTTAATAATAGATACATTGTTAGTAATTTCATATTGATTTATAGTAGTACTGTACTCTCTTAAGTCATACATGTGTCCAATCACTTTTATTCATTCTTTAGTCTCAAGTTTATGTATTCCATGCATACACTGTTGAGTGAAATTTCTAAGAATATTGTTAGTAAACATTTCCAATTAATATAATCAGAGCTTAAAGTTTTAGTAATGTAAGTAACTAGTCTTCTCATGCTAGATAGACAGCTTGGGTCAGAAGGGAGTGGATAAAGAATTTAAGAAGGGAGCAGATTATAGACTCATAGACTCAAAGCAACCCCAGAGTTCCTCATCCATTCTTTGACCAGTGGGATTTCTGTGGACAATTTGCAGGGGAAAATTCCTAGTCTGTCAGCAATCCACTCATAACTGAGGGATCCAGAAATTGTCCCTGATGTCTAAGGACATGGATCTAATAACTGATTCAGTAGTCATCCAGGAGTCACTTTTATAATTGCCATACAAACTCTATCTCATTTCGCCATGTATCTAGCATTTAAAAGAGAATCTTTTTGAAATGTGTTGTGAATGAACTGTACCTTTTTTCCCCTTAAAGGTAACTTTTAGGTAGTCAGTATGAACAACACTGACTTTACATATTCAACAAATGTGTTAGCTTCCATTTATTGCAATATTTATGTGGATATATGGGATGCTAAGGCTTGTCATTTCCAATATTATAAGTATCTATTACAGATACTGGTCTTGATGCTTAGTTTAAAAAGAAAGGAAACTCTTTTGAGAGTTCAGTGCACTGGGGATTTCTACCAATATTTCTCTTCTAAGGTAAAATGTTACATGTTACCTGGATATTGTTTGTTGCATTTATTTAAAGTTCTTTGTTTTTTCGCTTTAAAAATGCATGTTTTCTCCACACTAAGAACAGAAAGTGTTAATTCAAATGTAGCATGGGGTGTCTGCCTATCAATATTTTCTTCTGTACTGTATGTGAAAATGTTATCTGTGAAGGGAAGTATATTAGAATGAATGCAGATACTTTGCTGTTAACTAAATGTGGTTTATTTTCTGCTTGTTTGAGAAAATACTGAAGAATAAGGCTGTATGAAGTTGTCCAGACTTCCCGTTCTAGTGGTTTGGTGTCTATGTTCTTGCCATATTCCTGACCTTGGAAAAATCAATGGGACTAAACCCTGACTTTTCCTTAAAGCTTGAGCAGACTAGATTGTAGATATGTTCAAAACATCTGAACCTTGGTTATTTTGAATTAATTTAAAGCACTCTTCAAAATATTAATTATTAATCCTGCAGAAGCCCTTTATTTGGTTTTTTTTTTCTTCCTCTTGGTTTTTTACAACAGGAAATAGTAAATGTCAAAAAAAGTACCATGACATTATCCAAATTATCTTTTAATTAGTACCAGTTTAAACATTGATTACATTGAAAATCATTTCATTTCAGCCACAGCGTCCTGTGTTTACTCATGAAAACATTCAAGGTGGGGGGGAACCGTAAGTATTCTTCTTATCTTCTAAATTCAAGACTAACCTTGACCCGCAAAATGGACGATTGATGTACCAAAATAGAGGATGGTACAATTTTGCAAGTGAAAGAGATCAACGTAACTAACATGAGACCTCTTAGATTTAAGAGCAATTGCAATAGTCGCCATCTTTCACAATGGAGAACAGAAGCTAATTATAAAAAGAAACCTGTGATTTTGCAGAGAAGACTTTGATTTGTGCCCTAGAGCAAACTTCTAATGCCACAGTGATTCCTAAGACTTAGGAATCTGCCTCCCTCTCTGTGCTACTCGCCATGTAGATTCTAAGAACTACAGCTTTAAAGACACAGACAGCACTCAAACATTGTTTTTGCACATATTTCGAGAGCAGGAGAATGCAACAGTAGACACACATTAGTGATTAATTCCAAAGTTACATTCTGAGAAGGGTCTTTGGAAATGGCAGAATTAAAACATTCACTGTCACTCAGTTAAATGCCTTTTCACACTTTCAAATTCCCTCTCCTTGCTGATATGTGAGGCCAATCAACCTGAAGGTGTCAGACATGGTCTTTAAGACTCACGTTTTGTGTGTCTTTTTCTGCTCCATTTTGCCCGTGAGAGATGTTCAGAGGTGATCTGCCTCCTATTGGCTCTTGCCTATTCTGTGAATCAGGATCTAGACCCCTGGGAAGGAGCATTTACAGAACCAAACCTTGTCAGGCAGACCTGGGCACATGCAGTAAGCCCCCAGCCCACCGCCCAAGCTCTCACACCTGGAACAGAGCAAGTCGGCAGGGCCTGGTGTATGGCCTGGTGCCTTCATTACCATCCATTCCCCCTCACTTCTCACAGACCTGGCACTCAGCTAAAAGCATGCTCTTCAGAGACCATCTCTCACCTGAGACTGGCTCTCACTGAGCACAGCCAGGTTTCCTTGTTAAGAAAAAGACTATGAAAAGAAGAGGTTGGTAATAAAAATCATTTAAAATTTCATTTAACTTTTAAAAGTTAATGAAAAAGGAAAAGTTTTAAGCATGTAATTCAAAAGTTTTAGTTTGTGTTCTCATTTACACAAACAATGATAGGATCACATCACAAAAAATGAATTTCAGGGCTGTTTAGGTATACTGCATTATCAACACATCATAGTAGCAGCTCTTAAGGATTTTATGAATTAATACGTATGTTATGTTCACTGTTTCATGTAATATGTTCCAGTTGTGGTCATTGAGTGTTTATGAAACCACAGAGCTCGCAGGTGGGAGAAGGCACATTTTCAAAGTCCTGCTTTGGACATTATAAACATTCTTTATTAAATTTCTACTTGATCATGGCCACAATTAGTGAGATAACGGGGTGTCGCTTAATCTCTTTCATTTAAAAAATGAACTTTGAGTGAAAATAGGGATAATGTTACAATGTCATTACAATTCAGAATGATGGTAAAAGATGTTACAGAAAAAGTTGCAAGTTATAGAGAAAGCTTCACATTTGGGCATTTCCTATTGAAAAGACAAATTTGCTTTTGAGGCATCCTGAACCCACCGCCATCATGCATCTCACCAACACATCTTTCAAAACAGCATTTTTTCATTGTAATTCCTGTCGTGCCACACTGATTTTGAAAGTCAACAGAGGAAGGACAATTTCCGGAAGGTTTGTTTATGCTTCCATGAAACTCCCAATTTAAAACACCATATGCATATTTATTCATTTATTTGTGGTCTAACCAAACCAGAATGGTAAGTAGATTTTGACAAGCATGCTGGCTTTTGTCATACCAATGTAAAGTAGGAGTTCATGCCAATTTTGGTTTTTTAAGTGGTTGGGACCTTGAGATTCTTCAAGCAGCTGGGGTTTGTGGCCTTAAATAGGCAAGCCTGTATCCATAAGTGGTTGGAGATGTGCCTGGGTGAAAGCTGAATCCTGCAAAGCTCAGTCAGAGAATATGATGTACACCCATTGAATTAGCAGCTCAGGAATGAATGACTGTCTCCCTCAAATGTGAAATTGGAAAAGGAACTATGCTGAAATCTACTCTCCCCATGGATATAAAAAAAATAACATCCTTTCATGCTTCAAAGTCAAATCCTTGAAGCAAGCAACAAAATAATTTGACTACAACCCAGGGCTGGCCCCATGCAAACATCCAACCTAAGTAATGTTGGTCTGAGATTCTGGCTGCTTTCCTCTGTCCTTCCCCACATCAGAATCATCACACAACAGAAGACCTGAGAGTCCCAATCTCAAAAGAGTACAAGTGGCTGAAAAGATTTACTAGGAGGACAAAATATTCACAGGGGAAGAAATCTCTAGTGTTAGGATTTCAGCCTTTGGTACCATGCCAGGGAAGATCATGGTTTCTAGGAGAACGTGTTAGGCACCATGTCTTACCAACTCTTTCCCAGACACCCCCCACCGAAGCTAACTTTATCCAGGTTTCCCAATTTCAGAAAATTCACGGACAGAGAGGAAAGTCAGTGGAGTTATGTCCCTGATTTATGACATGATGTTTGAGTTCAAGTGATAGAATAATTTTGTTCTACCAAAATATGATTTTCTGACTGAATGAAGTAATTAGAAATAAATCATTCTTGTTCTTGGGCAGTATACAGTATTATCAACTTTTGAAAGTTGGTTTTAAAGTCTCCAAAGTGCCCTGAAATATGGTTCTTATTTTCTTACATTGGCAGAATTACTTAACTGTGATGAAGAGCAGCAGAAAAAAAAATGCGCTTTTTTTTTTAAAACCCCCTCACAGTATTGGTAATATTTTAGTAGTACCATGAAGTGTTCATCTTCACCGCATAGCCCCTGCTTCCTGGTCTCTTCAGCTGCTAGAATTTGTGCCTTCACGTTCCAAATGCCCATCCATCTTAACATGCATTAAAATACAAGCTACTTTATTACCAGAGATCCAATGTCTGAATTCATCACTGATCATTGTCAACAAAATATATGTTCTCAAAGAATTCAGACGGAGGAAAGGAATGGTAGTATTCTATCAGTAATTTTTTTATATATAAATTATTTCAAGAGAGCGTTTTTACATCAAACACAATTTCTCAGGGTCTCATTGTAGAAAGGAATTTATGTCCATAATCTACTGTTTGAGATTAGCTCAGTGACAATTGAGCATAGAATACATCCACTTGATTTTATAGGTGAAGTACATCAAATTTTCAAACTCTAAGTCCTCAGAAAACACTGATTCAAACTATGGAACTAAACTGCCTTAAAGAATGCCTCCTGGTGAAAAAAAAAATAACCTCTTTTATAGTAATTCCCACATTAGTGATTTAGAAGACATATGTCTGAGACATTCTGTACATCTCAATTTAGAATCATTTGAAAATTCAACCTGCAAGCTATAATTATCTCCTTCTGATTCTGACTAGCTCAAACTGTAATTCCTTGTTTTTACATAGCTAAATAATGCATTTAGCACTTCTTTTACATTCTGAACTATTATTTAATGTCTGAATGATAGAGATCTATGCCTGGCCAATTGAAATGCAGGTCTGATTTATAAATGTTAAATGTTATAGTTCATGGATGTTATAATTTGCTTGACTATTCCTCATTGCAAGTTTTGAAAAGCTGATAGAGTGATCTAATTGCCATGAGAGTCTACATATTTGTACTTACTTTACATACTTACCGAAGACTTATATTACCTAACTGCAATATGTTAATTAGACTAGAAATGTTAAAAGTAAAATTAATACTGTGTATCTTCTGTAGTTGCACAAAGGTGTAAAGATTTTTTTTTAAACACATCCATTTGTCCTGTTTAAGGTTTCAGGCTCTGTATAACTATACTCCTAGGAATGAAGATGAGCTGGAGCTCAGAGAAAGTGATGTCATTGACGTGATGGAAAAATGTGATGATGGATGGTTTGTCGGTAGGTGTACATTTCCTTTCAGACACATTTGACCATTTTAAATGTGCTTGTGTTTGTTCACTTGCATGGCTCAATGTAATTGTCAAGCTTTCTTTGATTTCATAATGCCTTTGATTTTTTTCATACATGCATAAATATTCAATCCCAAGGCAATTGTATTTCTAACATAATTTAGTACTGACTGCTTTGGGTATGTGTGATTTTCTGCTAGTTTTATTTCCAGTTCAACTGATAGAAGTTTTCTTTAGCACCAACCAGGGAAGATTGAGATCTAAGAACAACAACAAAAAAAAAACGATCCTTAGATGAGAGAAATATTAATACTGTGTTCAGTGGAGAGTGTAAGTTGTCAACAGTGAGAATCTAATTCGAGAAAATGAAGTGAGGTGAACAATTCACCAATATACTAGGTCTGTTGTAGGTACCCTGAAAGTCCAGTGATTCACCTTAGCTTTAATTTGTGGTAGAAGTAGAGAGACGTTCCATTCTGAACACTTAAAAGACAGTCATATTCTTACCATCTTGAAAGAAGACTCAAGGTTTTCTGAGAGAACATTTGTAGACAAGAGTATCACATGCCAGGACATAGAGGAAAGAGGTAGTAAAAGCATAATAAAGACATCGGCAGATGCAAGAGACAAAAGATGAGGGAATAAGGGCTGTTTATAGACAGGCAATCAGTGGGGAAATAATAAAAGAACCACAACCAGGTTTGCAGCCACAAGTCTCTGTCTGTTTCTATTAATTTCCCCGCAGAGGTGAAGTGAACTGGCTTACCTACACAGGGAAAAAAGAAAATCAGTCACCAAACTAGACAATAAGCCCCAGGACGTAAATAAGAAACAGAACTCAGAGACCCCGTTCACTCTATTTGATCTGGAAATCCTAAGGAAGGATTTAGGGCACCTTTTAGAAAACAATTCGAAGCAATGATGTTATTTGAAACCAAAGGTGATCATAATGATGGCCATTGTGCATTTGCTTTCACTCATATTAGAAATCATACCCGAGTACAGAACGCCCCTCCGCAAATAGGGGTTTATCTTTTCTTTTTCTTTAGGGACTTTGTAAATTGTTCAAATTTTCTGTATTTTATTAAGGATTCTGGCAGCGCTATTTGTAAATAAATCATGTGGCATTCAACATGATCTTCTATGAGATCATAAAACGACAGTGACAGTGTGCGAGATAATGCCTTAATGTTATACCTGTGTTGAGGTGTGACAGACCTCTTAATCACTGAACCAAACCTTGCTGTTGTGTGTTTCCAGTCCATCATACCATGCTGCCAGCCTCGTCCTTGTTTAAAAGACTACCGCACTTGAAAATGTCACACACACACACACCCAAATGCTCTTCCTATTCCATGCGTCCTTCTTGTCTAGAGCCTTGGTGATGGAGCATTATTATACTTAAATATCACTATACTTAAAAAGTTACCCACTCAGCAGGGTTGCCTTTCCCTCCAATTTGAGAGGCTGAGCTTTTCTGTTCAACCTGGCATGATGGAAGCACAGTTTTTCAGCCTAAGAAGCACTGAATGCATTAGGCAGTACAGATAAGACCGTTTACTTTGTCTTCCTAACAAAGGGAGTTTGAAATGAGCTTTCTTCTTTTCCAAACCTTGCCTGCTCTTTTAGTGAAGCCTTGTAAATAGTTTTCCAACCCACATATATGAACTGATATCTCCCTGTTTTTACCCCCCCTCCTTTCATTTATTGCTTCTATTTTCAGGAACCTCAAGAAGAACCAAATTCTTTGGTACTTTTCCCGGAAACTATGTCAAGAGGCTGTGAATCACTCTCCCTCCTATTTATGCTGCATTTCAGCACCACATCTGCATAGCCTCGCCTGAAAGATCCTCGCAGGCCTCCCGCTGTCATGCCTTATGGTTTCCAATAGAAGTCACCCACTGTCACCATCTCCACCTGCCACCAGACCACCAGCAAAGTAACGGCCACCGCGCCTTGGAGAAACTGGCAGACTAATCCTGTGTGAAAGTGCATATTTCTACTTTCTGCTCTAAACTGAAAAGTCTAAATGTTGGGATCAAAAAGAAAATCATTATACTTACAAAGGGTTAAATATATTTGAAAGTGTCCCAAGGAGGCTCTCTGGTCTGCTTAGGGAGATGTTTTGCCTTCAGGCAACCAGAAGATGGTTTATTACTAAGTGCTGTGGTGTGCATTTTCACATTCTTAGCTTGGCAGTATATTTTCCTTTCACGAGTTTGCCTAGTGTCCTGATTTACACAATATGGTAACTGTACTTCAGCTATCGTTTGCCTGCACTTATATGTTGTAATATGCACAGTGATTACAAAATCTAAAGCAAAAATAGGAACGTTAATTCGGATGAGTGTGATTTTGTTGATTGAATGTGAGTTTTCAAACAGGAGTCTTTTACTGCTATTCTTTTGTACATTTTAGAAGTGCAAACAGGAAGTGAAAAAGAGCTTTGGGTAATAATCATGAGACTATTAAGAAGTTTAGCTAGACTACAAAAACAATGTTGTGTTGTAAAGTTGCATTGCTATTTTATATTAAAATGTAATAATCAGCATCATGAACAATAAGCTTAGTGTTTTATTTATCTGATAAAATTTAAATAAAAGCAGTGTTAGTGAGAGGTGCAAAGAGTTATTCTAACATAGACACTTGAAAGTATCTGTAAGCAATATTCATAGGTAAGGTTTGTACTGTGCGTACACATATACATTTGCGATTGTATGAGAACAGACAATCCCATATGATATGTTGTACATTTTATGGAAATGTAAAAGAACCCCACATGTTATTTTATAGAAATAGAGTACTTTAGAAGCATCGCAAATAAGAAGGCTGGTTTTAGCAAGGATTACGATCAATACAATTATTTTTACTACGATAATTATTTTTCTTCTATGGAACTCAGAATCCTGGCTACATTTAAGGACAGGAACATGTTGAGCCTGATTTTCCTGGTGTGTGTGAAATATTTCCTCGGATTACACTAGGCACTGTTTAGACGCAATGTTAAATCATTCAGGTTATATTTTATGCCCTGCAGGAGAACTTTACAGAATGATATTGGGACCTGGGAGATTTAATGTGGTTACCAGTGCCTGCGTTACACACACCCTGAGAACTAGCTTTGTATTTCTTATGACTTTGCATAAGAACTATTCATATTTGGATCTTGAGCACCTTACAGATAAAACTTTTTATGGCATTTCTTCTGTGGACAGTGATCTTTTCACAATGTATGTAGACTCTAGAATTTTGTACATATGTTCACTCTTTTTTTTTTTTGTACAGACTATTTAGTTGTTGAGAAAACAAGGGAATTTCCTAATTTGGTCTTTATCCTTCGCTTAAACTCAGCTAAAAGTGATCCTTTCCACATCCCACAGATCTTAAGCACGCCTTCATAGTGTGATTCTGTAAGATAGCATTTATGCAGAAGTTTATGAACTTAAAAGATCTTAGCAGCCAAACCGAAATGTACAGAAATATCGATGACAGAGGAATTTCATTGGGAAGAAGGAAAAGAAACATCTTTGAGTAGCCTACCTAGATTAACTGTCGAGTTCACAACCAGCTTTATATTTGAAAGGCTTTGGGTTTGAAATTAGATCAACTGCATGCAGCTTTGCTGATAAACGAATAATTATCTTTGATGCCATTTATGAGAAGAGACTTCACTATCTGTTGCCTGTCATATTTAAGAAAAAAATGACTGTTTCTACTCTCTGTACCTGATTTTAAAAGGAAAAATATTCATACCTGGCTTTCAGGTTAATTGACTTTGAATTCTTACAAGCAAAGGTCATCATTGTGTTTTTCTTGAATAGAGATCTAATAAATTTTGCTTGGAAGTATACTTCAGTTTTTCTTCTTAACATGTATCCTTAGGTGAATTGTGTGTTTTATCCCAATTTGTTAGATAAACTAAGAGAAAATGCATTTGTTCTGTGTTCTCTTGACACACAAATGGAGAAAACATGTATCTGCATCAGCTTAGAGGATATTTTTTCAACCCACCACCAAAGCTCACTTGCTAAATACACTTTGGGCTAAAATTCCTGCCTCACAAACAGCTAATTTTCCCAAGAAGACGTTAACTGCAAGAAGATGTAAACACTTTTCCAATTCAACTGTCTTAAAATTGTAAATTCTTGCCCTAAAAAGCTTGACCACGATTGGCATGTCAGACTCACATAATACCCACAAACTTTGAATGAATTTCAAGTTATGTGTAGCAGTTGGGAATCGTTTTTTTTTTCCTCAGGCAATTAGTAGATAGTTAGCTGTCCTTGGATCCTCCTAATATACCTTAGTCCCTTCTGGCTGTAAGTGTTCCAACCCTCTTCCACATCTATCACTCACATATTCAAAAACCCATACGTTCTTAGGTTGGGAATTCACTTATCAAAGATGTCTTGTCACCCTGCCCACCCTGATCCCCTCTATTCCACTGGATAATTTCCATCATATGTTAGCTTTCCACTAATATGTACTCCCTTGGTGTGAAGACTATGACACATAATATCCTTTTGCTCCTGTTTTCATCAGAGCTTTTGAATCAGATAAAATGCGGGATGCTGGCTTGTGCACTCAGAGGTGGCTTCCCATATCTCTCTACAAGTGAATCTGTTGTGAAATAATCAGCACTCTAAAAATATAAATCAGGAATTTTGAAAACACATGCATCAAAATCTGGACTTCCTGTTCTACCTGAGAATTAATCATTTGTGCTTCTCTGTAAAATCTACTGAGGTGCAGTCTCAGCTTTACCCAAGCTCTGAGCTCAGGAAGCCCTCACCAGGTATGCAGTGTTCCCAGGTTTCTGTCCCAGCCATGCAGGCACTGCTGTGGGGCCCAAAAGAACTGCAGCCATGGCTTCACCCTCCTGCCATGCTTCTCAGAGATGTCAGTACTCTGGGTATAATTTGAATGACTTTGTTTCCAAATTGATGCTTAATAATCTATTTTACTTGATTTTATGTCAATGCATGCTCATCATGACACACCAAGAATCTCTTAATGCATCTCATCTATGCTACTGAAGGTGGCCTTGGTAAGTAGAGTAGGATCCATTGCTGTGCACACAATACAACAAGGCATGGGAAGCGCTGTCTATTCATCAGGTTCTATCTGCTGTGGACTCACATTGGTGCGCTAACTGGTCACCCAGGGCAGAGAAGGGACATCAGGGCCCTCTGAAAGTTTATGTGCCAAGTTTTAATCCTTCCTTTAGCTACACCCTCACTAAAAACAGGCGTGTCCATTTCTTATTTGAGGGAAATCAGAAAGAACCTGTTTGAGTAACTTTCTTTCCACGATCATTCAATGCTTGATCACTCTGCGTAGGTGGTCAGTTTATATAACCTGATATTTTCTTCCTACGCTTTTCCAGATTTCACCCACAAAAGTAGATATTCTTTAAAGAGTTATTTAATCAAATAGACTAAGAACTTTGCTTGCTTCCAAGAGCCTGTTTATTTATTTTAAAGATTTAATCATTTCATCCTCCTTTCTAGATTGTAGCCATCTAACAGTTGTTTATGTATCGATTATGATTTCAAATTATTTGCTCATCATGGATGACTGGGTCAGAGCACAAGCATTATTGGCATTATTAATAAACAGTCAACACCAAGAATCTGCAAACTATGGCTTGTGGTCCAAATGCAGCCGACTACCTGGTTTTTCTTTTGTTTTTGTTTGTTTGTTTGTTTGTTTGTTTTTTATGGCCTGCAAGCTAAGAATGGTTTTTACAGAAGAACATTGGCATTAATTTGATGATAAAGAATACTAACTTCGAACTCCAAGTAAGTGAAATGTTATCTCCCCAGAAAAAAAGAACCCCTCTATTCACTGGTAGATCTGTCTATATTAGAAAACTTGACCCTATCAGCATTATATTTTGAATATCATCAATAAAATTGGTGAAATCGATTTTCTCTCTGTTATGTAAATATGTAGTTAATATCCTCAATTTTGCCTCCTGGCCCACAAAACCTAAAATATTTACTGTCTGTCCCTTTTCAGAAAAAGCCTGTGAACCCCTGGTCTATGCTAATTGTCAGCAACAAACCTGGAAACTGACTAGAGGGAAAGGAATATTGGAAGTCTGCTATATACCAGACTGTTATTTTACATGTATTCCATGTCTTTATCCTCACAACAAATCTAAAAGGAAAACTGTTTTGTGCCCAGTTTATAAATGAGAAAGCTGAGGCTTAGTGAAGTTATAGAAAATATGTGACAGAAATTGGATTCTGAATCTGGTGTGTCTATCTCTAAGCCTGTACTCTGAGTTCTTCTAAATCACTTGGTGCTGAACACACTGTTGACCAAACTGTGCAATTCCAGTGAAACTGCTACAACCCCTCTGCCCCTTCCCCTCTCCACCATTCTCACAAGCTCCCCCATCATGAACAACCACTCACTCATGGCAGCATCTTGCTGTGCACAGGATGACAAGAAAGAGGTATATTGCTCAATCTAGTACAACAGCACTTCCCCAAGGAAAGCTAACTTTGGTTTCTAAAAGTACACAGTGGCCTGTGAGGATATAGTTTCAATTGCCTCTTTGAACTGAGCTTGAGCCTGTCCGTGAGCTGTGATTCATTAAGGCCCTAGAGGCTGTTGACCATGGGCCAGCTAAGCAGCTGGTGGTGGCTTTGGGAAGTGCTTATATTGTTCAGCCACTTGGAGCCAGGCAAGCCCAGCGTGCTCTAGGAACACGGTGTGCTCGCTGGACATCTTTTCAATCTACACAGCCCAAGGACACACTAGCCGTTCTCTGCTGGGTGACTCACTAAGTGACCGAGAGCCTTAACTCACTGCTAAATTCAGCCCCTCCATAGCTCAGGAACGTTCCATCTGAGCTCATGCACATACATATATCTTGACCCAAAAAACGTTCAGTACAAGACAGGACTTTGCCTAGCGAAACGTCACCTGTTCCTTTGGGGTTTCTTGTTTCATTCTTTTCCCTAAAATATGGTGGGTGACTCAGTTGTCCCAGTATCTTCCTAAAATAAGTGCCATTTTATATAAAATATTTAAATAAATTATCATTAACCATACCAATGGATGGGTGTCAATTCTTGTACTGATATTACAGAAAACTTGAGAATTACTTTTTAGAATATTTTTCAATTATACAAGCAACAGATACATATTGTAGGAAAAATTAAAATATAAATGAGCAGAGAAGACATAGAATCACTAAGAGTCCCATTTTTTAGGGTAAAGATTACTTTGGAACATATCCCCCTAGTATTTATGTGCACGTGTGTGTGTGTGTGTGTGTGTGCACATGTGTGTGTGTGTGTGTGTGTGTGTGTGTGTTAGTATGCAGGTAAAGTGGGATCATACTGAACATACTGTTTTAGAACCTGCACTTAATATTGAATGGGACTCTGAAATAAAGTGAATAAATCATGTTTTCAAGTCAATTTGATATAATCAAGGTTTATAAAAAGATACGAGGAGAAGTCAAAGTCAATTCCCAGGAGTCATGACAATGCAATTAATTCAAAACCAAGAGACAAAAATTACAAAATTACCATTAGGTTAGAAAATCTGTTGCAATCCAAGAAATTGGTCAAGAAAAAAAAAAAGAAAAGAAAATATTTATTACCTCCCCACCATAAACCATCACATGCATTAGGCATTTTTACAGCCAAGGAGTGGCTACAGGGAGATCTGAAACTGAGAAATATGTGAACTACAGAGCAGTTGGGTACAACATCCAAGCCATCCTGGGGTTAGCAAATTCCACAAGTTTTGAATCAAAACTGACAGAACAGGATAACTGTTGAGTAGTTCAGCTCATGCCTTCATGGAAGAGACCCTGTCCCTGCACACACACATACATAAAGCCACCCAAACAGAAAATAACCAGTGGTATATTCAGTGATGCAAGAAAATAATTCCAGGGCCCAGGGGGTAAAACTTTAGCAAGACCTTCTTACTCATTGTTAATTATGCACAAACTTGCAGAGACTTTGTCTGAGTCTCTAGCAGTATCCCTCACAGGGAGATAAGTCCCATCTCTGATCTTAACTTTCTCCATTGTCTTTTACATGTCTGCATATAATAAGAGCCTGGTGAGTACGTCTGGGGAGTTTGGAAGGTTCCATAATAAAATACTTTGTGGAGTCGTAGGTCATTGAACATTTTGCAGAATCTTTAGAATATAAGGCTAGTTATTGAAGCATTATCTCTTTTTGGCCCATTTGTTGAGCTCATCTTGGTGGCTGAAGCTCTCTGTATGGGTTTATTGGGAAGCTATTCAAAGCTTTTTATGCCTCCACAGGCTCCAGGTATTTCTGGGTTATTCTCTTGTTAGCCCTTCAGAGCTCTGGGTCCCCAAGGCTTGCAAGATTGCTTCCATAATGGCTACACCCTCATTGGGAGGCACAGCACATTTCTAAAATACAATCGCATAACTTGGAAAGGGTGAGCTGAGGAGACAAAAAAGAAATGGACATGAATACCTGGATCTATTCAGATAGTGCCTCGGGCCCTCAGGCTTTCAAGATCTCTAGTTGACACCTGATCCATAAGACAAGACAATTTGATCTACTTTGTTTCACCATATGTTCTCAGTCATTTGCTTCAAGAAGTCACCTCAAGTACACACCCAAAAGAGCCTTCAAAGGAAGTGTCAGCAGTCTGCTAATTGCCCTTCCCAGGGACAGAAGGTTGGCATTGAAACAGTCAATCAACTGTATTTGCCATTGAGTGTGTGTGTGAGTGAGTGTGTGTGTATGTGTGTAATGTGTATATAGTTACAGGCAGTGTTAAAGTATGAAAAAATAAAAAATGAAAGCTAATAATATCAGGAGTTGTTAATTGGATAATCAT